GAAATAAAAGTAGGTGGCTATCTAATTCTACAAGGCAATTTTTATTTCCGTATCTTGAAACACTTAAATATTGTGGTATTGATACTGTAGATGTGCTAATACTGCCTCTTTTCAAATTATTTACTTCATTTTTAAAAAGACAAAAAAATAATCTGGTATTGATTAGCACTACTAATATGCCACATCAAATTATAAAATTTTGACTTAGTGGATTTAAAATACATATGTTCAATTAGTGTGGCGTTTTAGTTGTAAAATTGATATTGTAGAGTTTTATAATACAGAGAAAAGCATTTGTCCTTTCTCAGCTACAGTTTGTAATGTTTTGGATCCCTTCATTTTATTGTATTTCCTCTAGGAAGTAGTGGCAATGCCATTCTCATTTATTTCTATATTTTTTTTCTATGCACTCTCAAAGTAATGTTTTCATATTTTAAAACTTTATATTATATTATCTGCCAATAGCAATGTTTTGCTTTGTTTTGATTCATTGCAGATATATTTGGAACAAAGGAAACAGCCCACACAACAAAATATTAAATCATAAATGTCAGAAAACTCTATCTCTCCTTAGTCTAAACTCTTAAATTCATTACCTATTTTTAAAAGAAATAATGGTCCCTTATCTATTACTGTGCACAGGAAAGGAATAATCAAAAACAGAAGACAAAAATATCAAAATATTTCAAAAACATTCTACATAATCATAAAATTAAATGATACATAAGATTTATGGATCTTAGTATCAGCTATCTCTAAATAAGCATTAGTTATGTTTTTACTGACTACTTATTAAATGTATCATTAATAAATGACTGCAGATATACTTTGAAGGCAACAATAAATCCTGTAAATTTTATATTTTACACATATCACAAATACTGATAAAAATATGACAGATAATTTTAACATAAGAAATAAGAAATAAAAGAATAGGGGAAGTGTGACTAGGTAGGTAAAATTCAAGGCATGTAAAATTTGTCTAGTCCCTAACCATGCCTCCATGTCCTATTCAAAGTCCTTGAGATTCATTTTGAGAGAGATTGTTTTAGAGTTTCCAATTCTCCAAACACTTATAAGAGAGAGAGACCTCTTATAAATAGCTAGACAAGCACATCCCTCAATGGGATTTATTAACCAAATGGGTAACATGATGAATTAATTTTTTACTTTTTGATTCTTTGTATTAGAATTTTTAGGGAGTAGTGTTAGTAATATAATGACTAATATTATCTAACTACTCAGCATTCATATGTAAATAGTGAGGATAAGTTCATTACTCAGATGATTTTTCTTCAAACATTATTCACACAAGTTTTCACATGATGAATATTATGATTATTTTCATTTCTAAATTTAATATTATAACTAATAATATCTGAAAAACTAGTATGAACCAATGTAATGCTCTAATTTCAACTTGCTACTTGCATTATAAAAGTGAAGAATTGTTGATGTCATATCTAAAACTTTTCTCTGGTCAAAATATCTTTAATTCCTTTCTTTCCATTTTAACTATGAACAGTTAAATTTGCATTTTTAAGGTAATTTTCAGTCACTTTTGGGTGGTGTGCAATGTGCACTTTACAATTGACTTATAATTGGACTGTGCTGACAATGGAAAATCTTACAAGTATTGAACATGACATTCATGACAGTATTGCTGTCATCTTGGCTTCTTTTATTGAAAATGCAAAGAATTATAATTGGGCTAACAAGCCTGGTAGCCTGGCCTCTTTCCAATTATATTAACCAGCCTAGTCTAGCATTAGCTGCCTGAACACACAAAGAAACAGGCCTAGAGCTTTTGTTTTTCTTTCTATTTTATTTTGGTACTTGCTCAAGAATCTAAGAAAAAAATCTTCTGCTTTCATGTAATGTTTGAGAATGTTTGATAATTTTTCTCCACCCCACCAAGAAATGTAAACACCTACGTTTTCTATCTTGATTTCACTGATTTTGGATAAGAGATTAATTCTAATAAAAGACTAGTTGTATTTGTTATGTATGAGAAATTATTATCTTAAAATAATAATATCAATCATTATCTTAAAATGTTATAAGTTTTTGGCAATTTTTCTTTGAATTTATTCTAATTCATTCTAAAGGTTTTTTTAAGTGGTGGATTGATTTCAAAGTGAAATTTCTCTTCACATGAACCAATCAACGTATTGACGCATTACTGTATCCTTTGACTTTCGGCAAGTAATGTAGCTTACTGTATAAGAGAGTGTTTTGTGAAATGTTAGAAGCATTACAAAGAAAATGATTAGCAGTTAAAAATAATTTCTAGTGTTTATAATTCTAAAATATTCTAAAATTTTATCCAAGAATTAAAAACGAAATTTTTAATTGAAAATTAAATACTTAAGAAAAATTAATTGAAATAGTTTTTGGTTTAAAACATCTAAGTTTGTAGCATGTCACCTATGAGGAATGTTAGATTCTGTACTCGTTTTATTCTCTTTTTCTGGTTTCTTAAGATTTCAAATCATTAGCTTACTATTACATTTCTTTTCCAAATATTCCCAAACCTTCTCTCAAGATATTTAAGATCTTTAGTCAATTGTTTTCTGTATAGAAATATGAAAACAACTTGAAAATTTGTCCTATAGACATTAAACATCACTATAGCACAGAAGGGATATTCTGTAAGGATCTGTGTTTCAGAATTAATATTAAAAAATACTACAAGTCTATAATAAGAAATAGTCCTTCAGACAAACTGTAAGCACTACACAATTATTTTAAAAAGTGAGTTAGAACTCTATGTATTAACCTGAAAAAAAAATGTGGGAAAGCAGAATACAAAATAATATGTACAGTATGATCTTGTTTTTGAAAATAAAAGACAAAAAGTACATGTTTGTTAGTGAGTTATAAGAACTTCAAAATTTGCAATTAAAAATAACATTAGTGTTATTATTTTTATTTATTTATTTATTTATTTTTATGTGGTGCTAACGATTGAACCCAGGGTCTCATGCATGCTAGGGGAGTGCTGTACCTCTGAGCCACAATCCCAGCCCCAACATTAGTGTTATTTTTATGTTTCTAGTTTAATGGGATCTGTTCACATTGGCCATCTTAGAAGTTGACAGTGGAGGAGAGGGGTTTCTGTTTACTTTTCTCTGTCTCCTCTGGTTTTTTAGATATATTTCAAATTTGTATTTAAACAATGAAGCAGTCTTATTTCCTTCATTAAAAAGGCGTACGTTACTTGGTAAAAGAAAATTTTGAAATTTTAGATTTAATATTACATAATCTAGTGTCTCCAGTGGATTATTTAGTTGTTATAAATTATAGCCTAATAATTACTAAAAATGTTATAAAACAAATAGCAGTTAAATTTTTGATCTTTGAGTTTTTTTTAAAGTTCACAGTAACATTGTAAATCATTCTTCTTTTCCAACCACCTACTTATATTTAAAGTTGTGCAATAAACAGCTTGAGTGGGTTTAAGAAAAGGACTTAATCCAGGTTTCTTGATATAATTTCAATTTCATTTAAGTGTTTTGTTTGGAAAATATTATTTAAAATACAATAGTAAGATAGTGTTTGTTATCCGTGTTTGAAAATGAATTTTTCCATAAGGAAAATTTAACTAAACTTTCTCAAGTTTTTTTTTTTAGTTCAAATACCTTGGAAAAATGAAGTGTAAATTAAAAGTTTCCATTCCTACTTCATGGGTACTAAATCCAAATCTAAATTAAATTGCACTAAAGGTCAGTCTATAGAACTAGAGACTGTATATTTCCCAATTAAAGGATGGGCTACTTCATCTTTAATATCCTTTAGCGAGTGAAAAAACACTCCCTCCTCTTTCAGTCTTCATTATCAAATAATATCCAATCAAAGTAGAATATATCACTTCAAAAGTGTTTAGAGGTGTCTAATTATGCATTTTGACTAGGAGTCATCCTTTGAGTTAGCAACTGTCCTATAGGACTAATTAATTTAATTTCCTCATTAAATTTATTTCTGCCCCAAATAGTGTTTACTACTAGATATAAATAAGCTTCAATTTCTACCTCTTAAGGGAATCATGCCAATTAAAGTAATGAAGTTTTCAAGTTTCATAGCTATATAGTCAACCATGTACCAAAATAGCTGGGGTTTAATGAATCATATAATTTGAGTTGGGTTTTGTTGAAGAACTGATGCTTGCAGTTTATTAAGTGACTCGTTCCTTAAATACAAACACCACAGGGTGGAATCTTCGTGAACAGATTCTGGGATTTGATGCACCTAGGCTAGAATTCTAAACTTGCTTCATTTGTGCTCTGTCACCTTCAGCAGGTAACTAGATAATTCTAACTTTCATTTTCCACACCTATGAGGCACAAACATCAAAACTTAACTCTCCAAGTTGTCACCATCATGTGTAAGATGTAGGGAAAGTGTGAGACATCAGGTTCAGCATTTAGTAAAGCATTCAGTAAATGAAATGACCTGCCCTTGTGATTAATTCATACTTTTTGGTTTACGATTTAATTGTTAAACGGTATTAAACATATTTAAAGTGTGAAGCATGCCTGTAATACCAATGAATCTAGAGGCTGAGTCCAGAGGATCCTTAGTTTGGGCCCAGCCTGTGCCAACTTGCCAAGACCCTGTCACAAAATAAAAAAATAAAAAGGAGTAGGGATATATCTCAGTAGTAGAGCACATTTGGATTCATTCCCCAGTACACTCCTCTGCAAAATAATAGCTATGTATGAATAACTTTTTATTGATTATCGTTTAAGTCTTAGAACTAAGAAAAACATAGAGAAAGAAGTGTGTTCCTTAAGAGTTCGGTGTCTTGTGGTGTTTCAAGTTCCACCTCCCTATTCGGCCTCCTGTCTTACTTTCTTACTCGTGTGTTTCAATCATATACTAATGAAGTATAACAATTGTCATTTTCTTTGTTATAGGTTCTCTTGATATAAAGTATGTGGGTAATATAAATGCACTTTTCAACTTAGTACTAATAGCATCTCTGTTTTCTTGCTAACTAGAAAATCTGTCTAATATCTAATATTTGTTTCTTCTTCTTGTGCAACCTTTCCTTGGTACCAGCTGCTGCTTCAAAGAGTAAAGTTAAAGGTGAGCCCATGTCCATTTTGCATGGTTATGGTGATTCACTTTTCTGCTTATTCCAAGTTCTCTTAAATGATAAAATCTATTCTGTTGGTGTTAATGCTATTTTAGTGCATGAATACTATTTATAAATTACCCAAAATGCATGTATTTCACCCATTCGGTTTTTGATATATGTCTGTTTGCATGGTTGTTTTTAAGTTTGTTTTCTAGTTTTGTTTTTCATTTTATTTCATTCTGAAATGTGCTTTCATGTGCTAATGTTTTGCCTGTTGACCTTAGCTTCCTTAATAAAATTGAGAATTAAAAAAAAATATGTCATTAGTAAAGCTTGAGGAAAGTCACAAAATTCTGTATGCCTTCATATAACTATTTGAAAAGGAAATTAAATCCTCTAAAAGATGAGTAATATAAACAGTTCGGGTTATTTATTATTTTTTCTTCTATTTCGAGATTGTATTAAATTTGTGTTTGATAGTAACCTGAAAACGTATTTTCATAAGAAAGGATGCACTTGTCTAAAAACCAAAATATCTTCCTAAAAGCCAAAAATCTTGTCTTAATGTGTCTAAGGTTTTTTGAATTGGAAAAAAATTCAAATTATCTATCTATATAATCTGTGTATCTACTTATGATAGTATGTACTAGATTCATAGTTCATATGATTCAATTTATATTTTCCATAGTAATCTATTCACTGTTTGTAAAGTTTTTTTTTTTAATGTTTATGTTTCTCAATTAGCCAAAAAGCATTATTTTATTTTACGTTTGTCTTTTAGGTCCAAGTCCTAGTTTTATGCTTAGTTTTAATATAGTAACTTAGGCCTACTTTTGAAGTGTTAACTTCCTCCTGTTGATAAAGCTTAGTATTTACTTTAGAACCCATAGTTTCCTAGCAATGTATTTGTCGATAGAATACTAAGTGTAAAAGAGGGGTTGGCAAATTATTGTCACCTCCATGCCTTGTGTAGGTTCTTGTATCAGAAAATTTGGTAGAAATATTAGCCAATCTTTACTGTAGTAATTTTCTGTCTCAATTTGAAAAAAAATTCATAGAACAATTAATGTATGTTTATAAATTAATAAACATAATGAATTCATATAATAAAAGGTTAAGAAGTGTTGTTTCAGAAATGAGGCATTAAGAAAAATGTAATAATAATGTGTCAATGGTGGGTAAACACATACATAGAGAGACAGAGATTCTTACTGAAATCTGGGTAATACTTTATGAATAAGGTTGAATATGAACTTGATCTTAAAAGATGATTAAAATGTATATAGAAAAATGAGTAAAAAACAAAGAAGATTAGAGCCAGGTACAGTTGTATACCCCTGTAATCCCAGTGACTAGGGAGGCTGAGGCAGTTGAATTAAAAGTTTGAGACTAGCCTCAGCAATTTAGCAAGTTCCTAAGCAACTCAATGAGAACCCTGTTTCAAAATAAAATATGAGAAGGCCCAGGGATGTGGCTCAGTGGCTAAGTGCCTGTGTGTTCAATATCTGGTACCAGCAACAAAAAAAGGAGTAAGAAAACATATATAAAGCTAAGGAAGCACGGGTGATTGCAGTCTATTTCAGTAAAGTGAGAAGACATTTTGAATGAGCCCTGAGTTTTTAAAAATAAATGGAGAAAGTAAATTTGAAGATAAAACAATAAGGAATGGAGTGAGCATGAGTCATTGCTGCATTGATTCCATAAACCTCTAGCAATAATCACAACTATGTTCACTTAATAATTCTCAAATATAATTGCAACTAATTGAAAATATAAATTAAAATTAATTCAAATTATAGAGGTTGCAAAGTTTTAAATACAGGAATTTTTTTTCCATTGGATGATGATACCATAAATTATTCCAGAGGTTCCATGTCTTCTGCTGGCTAGAATTTTGCAATGCAAATATATTTTTGTACACAGATTAATACTTCCTACATCTTTTTTCCTACCCTTACACATATGTTCATTGTCTTTTTATCTCTATTCACTTGCATTCAGAGGGCTTTCAGACATAGTTTATCCCATGCCTGTCTCTTTGCATGTGCCAGTTATTATCAAGCAAGAATAATACTTTTTAGAATTAACTGCACCTCAATCAGAAATTTAAATTTTATTTCTAACCATTGTTTGAGAAAGATATATATTATTCAAAGGTAATAGATTGAACTCTGCAATACTTTTACTGTCTAATTTCTGTGTCAAGGTAAATTGTCTTTAAACAGGAATAAAATTTGGATGCTGAAAATAGAACCCAAGTAATGTAAAAGTGGATGGTTGCTTAAAAATAGTTCTTTTCTCTGACCCAGACAACTTACTTCCCAGCAAATCAAGGGAAGTTCTGGGAAGGACCACATCTCATTCACTTTATAAAGTCTTGGAAAGGTGGGGAGATTCTGACAGAATGGAGAAAGGAATGTATTCTCATTTTTTTCAAAATAGAAATGGTCTCATTCCATAAACCATAGACTAGTGAATTCAACATCAACATCCCAGTAAGGAATTTTAAATAAGGCTCCTATAGTAGTTGTTTGTGGGTGCTTAGATTAAAACAGAGTTCACTAGGAGTCAGCTAATAGTTACTAGTAATGGCATAAAAGACTACCCTAATTTTCCTCCTTTTTTTTAATACTGGTTATCACTATTGCACAATAATATAAACATTGCATATGTAAATGTTATCAAATTATGTCTCAACTGATTATCTTCATTGGTCAAATCCAATGGTGGATTGACAATCAGCATATTACTTATTTCTTTTCTGCTGAATATATATTGCTTCTTTTGATTTTCATTTCCCTTGATCTCAGTGTCTCTGTACACATTAGATTTTTAAAAAATATTTTTGACTCTTTCTCTCTTCTCTGTTTTATTCTGAAGCAGAGGCATCCTTGAGATTACGTCTCTGATCCTTGAGGAGATCATCCATTGCAGTGTTGGCTCAGATCTCCACAACTCCTTTGAAAAATACACTTCATTTCATACAAAATAAAGGAAGCAGCCATTTTCTAGATGGTTGTGTACCCACCAGCAACCCTTCCCCACTGCTGACTGGCAAGCCAAGAATAAATTACCCAATCACACTGCTTCTCTGAAATCTTAAGTCTGAGAAAAGGAAAAGAGAGAGGGGAAAGGTGAAAAAGACAGTAGGGTGAAGGAGAGACAGTTGATCAGATAGGTTTTTCTCCATGGCCATGAATTCTGTGTGTGGACTTAAAAAGATAAACTAAATCTAGAGAGAGGAATGAAGCAAGGTTGTATAAAAAGAAAGAGGAAAGAATACCCTAATTGTGCCCAATCCCCTTGTTCTAAAGTATGTCTAGGCTCTGTTTTATCCCTGTATTTTGGGTCTATGAAATGGCTTTATTTTAGCTAAGCTTTCTAGACTGATTTCTCTTTCAAACAATCCAAAGAGAACCAGTTGGTATAGTTGTCTTCTTTCTCTACAGTTTTCTTTGTTGGTTTTGATGATTACTTTTCTTGGCTTGATGTCACCTACTGAGCTTTTGCCTGCTATTCCCTCATTGTGCAGAACACTTCCCCTTCAATATTAAAAGCATTATGCTTATTTTGCTTTGCAAATCTGAATGGTCTGGATTTGCTGTCTTCTCATAACACCAAATTTCTCTGATTTTCTATGTTTATAAGATTGGGAACTTCTTTCATTTCTACTCACTAATAGCTCTCACATTTGTTTAGGTACCAAATAGTCCTGGTTGGATTGTATCCCCATCGTATCCTCTTCCTCAAGTCACTCATTCCTCAGAGCTTGTCTGGAGTCATTTCTAACTTGTTTCCAGATTTAGTTCTCCATACTCTACAATCTATTTTACATATGTATATCTAGCTGAAATTTAAATAAGATCATCAATGTTTTGCCACTTAGAAGAAATGGGCATCTGAGAGTTTTCTTAAAATGTCTTTGTGTAAAATAATTTTGTTTCATTCTATAATAAATTTATAAAAATATAACAAATGTATTACGCTGCTTAATATTGCTCCAAGATCTTACAAATTTTAAGCAGTTTTAACTCAGTAGAAATATTTTATTCTCTAATCCTGATTTTTAAGTTATTTCAAAATTCTTCAACAATAGTAAGGATAACACTTTATGCCATTTCTAGAACACCAGCTTTTAGCTACTATTTTCAAAGTCTTTAAGTCTTAACAATTATATTATCATTATCCAGTGCTCAAATAGAAATTAGCATAATCATTCTGACAGTGCCTAAGAATTCAAAGATAATGCAAGTGCTCAGCTATATAAATTGAGATACACATGTAGTTCCAAGGAAAATCAATATTTTAATTTATTAGATTTATTAAGGAAAAGTCATACAGAATATTATTAAATAAAATATTCATGTGAGACTATATACAAATCTGATGTAATATAAAATATAATTTTTAGGGTGGAGTTGAAAGGCATATAAGAAAATGAAATTGGGATGTTGTTTCGAAGTATTTTGAGATTTTTATTTTAGGTGTGGCACTTGTTTTTTAGTTTGCACTATGTAATGTATTTCACACATTAAGTCATTCATTTTGTGTTTAAACATAGGTTGAATCTTGATTTGGGGACTCACTAGATTTCAGTATTTGGACATTTGACTAGCTTCACTAAAGTTGATACAACATTCAGTTGTTGTGAAAATTATATAGGATGATGCTTAAAAACGAATTATCCCAGGGCTGGCCCATAATAAGCCCTCAGTAAATTTTGCATATTGCTGTTTTGAATATTACATTATAATCATCAATACCAGTTAAATGACATCTGTAGGGGAAAAAACAATATGAAAACATATAGTCCAAGACAAGTCTATGTACTCAATGCTTTTCTAGAAGTGTTAGCTAAATTTCATCTTCATGATGGTGTTCATATGTTTATATTCATTATAAAACTAAAATAAACACATAAAATGTATGAGTGATCTAGTAGGTAGTTTTTCCCTTTCTTCAATTTTGTTATTAAAAACCAAAGTGCTACATCGATGTTCATAGCAGC